AACCCCAATCTACAACCAGGCCTCCGCTGTTTAACCCCTTGAACTGAAACGTTACTTAACCCCAAATATATAATAAACCTCTCATTTCCTCCTCCTCCAACAATGAGACCAACACTTATGTTGCGTTATATTTCGTCTATTGTTGCAGAGCAGGAATTTCATGTAGGAATATTTTCTTCCCCAACGACATGGCCTCGAGGCCACACGGTAGCAGTCAAGCTGTGAGGCTGTTTCCCGCCAAAACTCAAGTAGTTTTTGCGCGCTAATAGCCACCGACCAGTATGTCGACCGATGACCACCGTAACTTTGGATCTACCAAAACAAAGGCAACCTCGTTCCCCTTGAATAAAATGCTTCAGTTCCTTTGGACCCATCATTAAGCGATAAATACTAACATTTTTCATAACTTTTAATAATTTTTCGCCATTGTCTCTTGAAGATTTTATAATTATGACATATAAAAGCCGTCACATGGATCGCAACGCAAGACTCCTTAGAGAAGGATTCTTATCAAACAGAAAATATCAAATTACAAATTGATGAGACTGCTTTCACTCCGATGTCACCGAAACCCACATATCTGCCTCTAAAATTCCAAATGGTGTTTTAACTCGAACAAAAATATGTTGTCGTCACTTAACCTCAAACAACACTAATATTGTATGCCACGGCCAACCCAGTTTTAACTTTTAATAATCAAATATTTTATCAAAGGACCAGTAATTGAGTGTTTTGTTATACAGCTGGAGTCTAGCATAAAGTGATAAGGCAACAAAAAGTAACTTCAAGTTCGGGTTAGTGGCAGAGCGGACAACAATTGGGTAATATTGCATGCTTTAAGTAAATTAACCACATTGACTAAAAGGTGTATAGTATTTAAAAAACTGCATGCAGAGCTGGATAATTACTTGAAGAGGAAAACTTTATTTTGCATTCTTGACAGTACCGATGTATAAAATAATGTGATTTACAACAGTAATGAAAAATGTGAGAACATAAAATGATACAAAATATACATGTTTTTACGGAAAATAGTGCTTAACAAATAAATACATTTCATCATTTTCAAGTTGTGTAAATAAAAAAAACAACAATTTCACCACTAGGAAATCTGCATTATGGTGAACTGGTTTAGAATTAGCTCGCCCTTAGCCACCGTACCACTTCTTTTAGCCCAAACAAGGGCCAAGTCAGTTACTGATTTATTGAACCCCTTATCCATTCACAGTTTCCGATTGGGGTCAGAATAATGCAGCTCAACTGCATGTACTTAGTTTACACACAAATATGTTCCTGTACATGTTTATGAACACCTGTATTACTGATCAGTCTGGTATCTGTTCGTTATTATTATCTGTATTAACTGTATAGGTATATTTAATTATTAAATGCATCCGAATGTATTTTAAAAATTCAATGCACGAGGAGCAAGTTTACTATATCCTTTATGCAGTGTTCAAGAAATTGCATGAGCTCAAACTTATGATACAAGTGATATGCATTATAAATTGATAAAGTATGAGCATGCAACACACAATAGGCCATGTTATATTATTATTTATGAGGTAATGGAGCTTGATGAACTCACACTGAGCTATCAGAGCATCCACAATTCTTTTAACATTTTAAAATTATATTTTACTACTAACACACAGTCTTCCCGAAATTTTGTCATAGAATTTGCAGCACATCAGCTGAACTTGGCTTGCTGAACAACCAACTGTTATTATGATGACAACTGTTCAGGTGGTAAATGGCCAGTGTCACCCATACTTCTAAGGCTCACCCTCCCATTAGGCCTGATGGTTAACCATGTTATTCCACAATGACCCATGCCCATACGAAGCCATCCTTCTGGAGGAAACTGAAGCACCCTATAACACGAAAGGTGGTCACTAAATATTGTCGTTTTGTGTTAGTGGAAGGCACCTTGAGCTTACATTTAGTAGTCTGGACTCTGGGTCAAGCAGCCCGGGCTTAAACCTTGACTGAGGTACTCAACTGGAGAACAAAATTTGTTTTTAGTATAAAATTGTATTGCAATTGGGCACAACATTTGTGTATATGCATTCTGTAAAAGAATTCAAACAAAGTCTTAGGCGTGTACACTGTATTAAATACAGTGTACACGTAAACAGAAAAACAAATTTTGGTTTGTTTTTTTTTTTACTTTCAAAAGTTCTTACCTACATACGAAGTATCTAATTACGTTTGCATGGCATACATAGATTTCCACACTGTCTCCCACTTGATCAACATCTGCTCTGTGGACATATTTTCTAAAAGCAGCTTCAATGCGAGGGCCATCTTGAAAAAACTGCTGAAGAACGCCAGCCATAAAAACATCAGTCGTAATCTATATTCTGTTTTACCACTAACATTTCAAATCCATGAAAGTGAGCCCTTCAAACTTCTCCTAAAAAAACATGATTTAACATGTTCATTGATTCAATTTTCACATACATGTACACTTTAAACTGTTCAGTTATGTAGATGCATAGAAGTCCTGGGCAGGGGAGAGGTTAACAGCACACATAAACAATGAAGATTCTGTAACACTGAGCTTATACATGTTACTGGGGGCAGATCTGGGGGGTTCAGTCGAACCCCCTAAATTAAAAAAATATGAGACATTTCAACACGCTGACTCAGCCTCTCAATTTTAGGAATTTTCTGAGAGGATTCCCCTGAGGCCCCTTCAGGGGACCACTGTCAGAGTCCGTATCTCAAACTCCTAGCTCTAAAATTCTCTATCCACCTCACTGTTACACACACTGACCTTTTTCTCTGGTTTCCAATTTGGTGAAGAAGGATCAGGCTTGATAGGTGCTCCTTCTCTTAACATGCAACATGTCTCCCTTGGTACATCTGGAAGATATGATGCAATGATATCTGCTGTTTCAATGGCTCTTATTAGAGTAGAGCAAACTAGTTTGGTGTACTTGAGGTTTACACATAGGTCTTTCAGTCTCTGGCCAGTTGTGTTTGCTTGTAATCTGAATCCAAGAAAAACAAAATATGGTTTGAATAGACACTGTTTTCAGCTTGGCAGTGAGGCTTAGAGGACACAAACAAAGGAAATTGTGTGAGCATGTTTATTCATTTCTTTTGTTTGTGTCGTCTAGGCCTCGCTATCAAGCTGAATTTTAATGTATCAAAAGTGGCCTATTAAATGGCAGATAATTTTGAAGCGCTCTATAACCATGAAGTGACAACAGAAATACAGTGTAGCATTATCTATGAACTGCAAGTTATAAGTAGAGGGGTAGGTTGGATGGGAGGAGTAAAAGCCTCCACCTCAAGCCTACATTGCTTACATTTCTATTTTGAGGTCCTGATCAACCTATCAATAAAACTGTAAATAAAACAAACAGTGAGTGCAAAATGTCTTGTGATCAGATATAAGCTCATTCCCAAAGACAAAGCTACGCACTCTTTGTACTGATCAAGTACAGAGCAAGTACAGAAAAGGGGGGGAGGGTTCCATTGAACCTGGCCTATCCATAACTTGTGTTGTTTTTGCTGTGGTATAGAATGCTGCCTCCACCTCC